AAATTCAAAGCTCCACTTACATAAAAGGAGCCACAGTGTCTCCATTTCTAATGAGTCATTGTTCCCTCTGTAAGTCCCTTGCTTCTTACTACAATACTCACTTCTCTTGGGTAATGAAAATTTAACTATCTGCTGTTCCCGGTTGCCTCTTCTCTTCTTGCAGCAAGTTGTCTGTAGGCAGGCTGGTTTTTACACAGGAGGCTGCAAGCTGAACTAATTCAGACAAGAACTTGTGCAAACAGATTTCAGTCTTCAGAGAGCTTAGAAAGCCGGTCGCCGATTCAGGCTTTGGCGACGGAAGGAGCTTCAAGGTCCTGCTGTGTCGCAGACGCCCTGCGTGACCTTGGCAACGTCATCGCGTAGGTGCCTCCCTCCGTTTTCTGGTTGTAAAATGGGATTTTTGGTCCTTCTCACCGTGCGTGGGTGTTGGGACGTATCTGAAAAGGAATGCTATGGCATTGGCGGTGTGATTTCCCTTGGAAGTCACAAACATAGCAGAGCCTCAGCCTTTGTTTGAAAGAACAAGGCAACATTACAGAGAAACACTGAAAAACAGGAGCCACAGGTGCAAAATCCATTAAGGAAATATAAAGAGTTCTGAAGTCGTTCTCTCTTTTTTCCTCTTTTTTTTTTTTCTTAAGCTTTTATGACACGCTTGTGACTTCATGAGGATCCTGCCTGTGATTTTTGAAAGCAGGGTTAACGTTATGGCCTGCTCGCTGTTCACCGTGGGTCCTTTATTTTCCCATTTTGTTCCTGCCGTTTAGGATTTCAATAGCTGCGAGAAGTGCCCCCCGCTTTTGTTTTAGAGAGACTTCCTCCAGGAAGACAGGAGATCGCAGGGCCAGAAAACGGGTCACGCAGTCGTCTGGCAGAGTAAATAGCTGCTCGGGGAGGGAAGCAAAGCCAGCCGCCAGGAGAAGATGAGGCTCTGAGATCAAGAGCCTCTGGTGCCTTCTTTGACACCAAAGCCCCCATCTACAATAGCAGGTCGACCCGCGGCTGACAGCCTGCATTCGGCAGAAGGGCATCTTGAGAGTGCAGATAGGACTTTGCCGTCGCGCTGGAACGTGGCCAGGAGGCATGGGTGGCATCTCATTTACATATCCATTTGCTTTTTTTTTTTTAAAAAAATCAACACTGAATTCAGAGTCCTAATATTTGCTTCTGCTTGGTGCGTCTCCTCTGCTGGACAAATAGCAGAAGATGCTCGCATGGGTGCTTTTGAGGGGGGCAGAGTCGGTGCCGAGCGGTTCCCAGCGATGCTTGCAGGAAGCCAAGCGTCAGTTGGGTTGTTTCTTTCTTTGAAATTATGCCAAGTCTTTACACTTGAAAAGAGGAAAAATGGGGTGTGGGAGTAAAAGGAGCGCTTCTCAAAACCAGAACCCGGGTTCCCTTCGTGCGGCAGGAAGGTGCTGTAGGAGGTGAGAGGGAGATGGCTGACGGGGGTACCTTGCCTGGACTCCTGGTTGGGCTCATGTGGTCTGAACTCCAATCACTGCAAGGGTTTGGATTTGGGAAGCCAGGTTATAATGAAAACCGGATTTTTTTTGGCTGGTACCCTATTTAGTGGAAAGGGAGAGAATGGGAAACTTCTGGTTGACTGACAGCATCTTGTGTGATCATTGAAGTGCTTGTTTTGTTTTGTCTTGGAGTCAAACCACCCTGCTTTGAAACCAAAGCACCATTTTGTAATAACATTGTAAATGTTCATGGGAAAAGTACCCAATTGATGTGTTTCAGCGCATTTTCTTGTAGCTGAAATTGCTCAACCTGCATTTGCAAATCACCCTCTCCCAGTCTCCCCATTTTCAGTTATTTTCTGTGAAGTATCTTATCTCTCTTAAAACTTTTCTGCAAATTACTTCTTCCTTTGACATTAAGACATAAGACAGCTGAAAGCTGTAACGTGGACGGGCTTCTGATCTTCCAAACCCAGTTAAACCCAGTAATCAGACTTTAAGCTGATTTGAAAGCTAGTTGACCTCTGCCTGCAGTATTTTTTTTTTTTTTTTCTTTCTTCTTTTTTATCTGTGATTTAGGGAGAGATGATCCTTCTGTGGAGCAGGGACTGGGCCAGGTAACGCTCTTAAGGTCCTTACCCCCATCTCTCCTCTCCTGTGACTGAGTCTGAGCTGTTTGTAACTGAGATGGAGCCTTGGACAAAAAAAAATTGGTTTCAATGACAATTTTTCACATTGAACAAACAGAGGGAAGGAAAAGACAGGAGACATATGCCATGTTTCTGCTCTGATTTTTCCATGGCCATCAGCGGCTCTCTAAAACAAATCAAAAAATAAAAAAAAAAGAAAAAAGAAAAAAAAACCCAAACCCTAAAAAGGGCTTCATTTCCAACAGCAATTACCAAATGAAGCCTCTGCTTAATGGACATATTCAGAGGGCATAGACACCACTTTGTGCTTCTGCTTTCTCATTACGACTCTTGCAGCTCCCAGCTGACAACCTGATAATTCTCGACGATAAAACAATCTTTTTGGGTTATTGCTGCGTTCCAGCGCTGTCCCTGCTTGCCCGGCTTGCTTTGAGAATTGTCAAGATTACGGAGTGAGCTCTGAAAACATAGTTAGCGGTTGCAAAATATATATTAAAAAACAAACAACAAAAAAAACAGCAAAGCAAAATGCTCGTTTTTCTGTGCTTCCTTTCCTAATTTTCTCTCTGATCCCCACTTTTCCCTAGTATCCTAGGGGTGCTTGTCCTTTATGAGTCCAAATAAAATACAGAGCTAATTCATATTCCCTTAATTCAGCATAGCAAGGGCTTCTGCTGATATCGGAGGCCACCGTGACTTCCAGAGAATCTCTCCTAGCAGAAAGAGCTGGAATCCCCTCTGGAATAAACCTGTCCTGTTGTGCATGCAGCACAGCACCGAGAGCTACTACCGTGACCTTTTGGAGCACCTGTGATGAAAATCAGATTTCCTTGCAAACACGTGGGTGCTGGGAGAGCCAGGACCTCTGAAATACCCAGGGATACAGTGCTTGAGGTGCGCCTGGACACTGCAGAGAGGTTTGCAAAAATTTCAGCAGGGCTTTTTAACTTGTAGAAATCCAGAAAGGATGGCTCTGTTCTTCCCCGTGCATCATTACCTGGCTAAGAGCAAGTTTAAGTTAAGCTACGCTAAATTAAATTGAAAGATAAGCGTTCACATGGAGTCTTACATTGGTTTAACTGCACGAGTTAGAAAATGATTGAGCTTTGTAGCTTTGCCCTGTTAGCAACACCCAGCAACTCATTTGGAAACAAGTTTAGTTGCAAGTTGTGTCACACTTAACCTTGGTTTAGGATTAATCATCAGTCAATGATTAAATTGAGTTAATGTAAATTAGGACTGAATTGATTTAGGGTGGTTCACATGGATTCTGTCCTGGTTTAACAAATTGATTTTAAAGAGAAACTTTTTCTTCAGCCTGGTACAATTCTGCCTATTGAACTGACATTCAGCTGAGGGGTGTGGGCTTTTAATTCTGTGCCAGTTGCAGGGCGATAATTCACACACAGCAAGGCTCCTGATCTTTAAAACCCCTCAGGTAAAATAGCAATCCGGTCGTTCTGCCTTTCTCCCCACTTCTCTCTTTCTCAGATCTCTCCTATATCCAGAGTAAGAGCAAGACTTTTAAGTGCTGGCGAGGTGATAGAGCTATTCAGAAGCTCTACAAATAACCAGCACAAGGGACTGTGCTCACAAGGTGGCCAGATATCAGCAGATCCCCGTGAAATGGCTTTACGTTTAGGACCTTCCAGCATTAGACTGTGGCACTACGTACATGTGCTAGCTTGTAGCACAACGAGCCATCTCTCCAAGATATCCCAGAGGTATATTTGGGTTAGGGGTGCTTTGTCAGCATTTGTTCTTGCTTTTACTATTTTCTTTAGAAGCTCAGATCCGAGAGAAGGGAGTGATCTGGCACTGTGCTGCTGTGTGCCCCGATCTCCGTTGGACCACAGGGATGTGCTGTATGGGCATCCCTGATTCCCACCTTGCCGGATTGAAAACAAAAAAACTCATTTTGGAAAGAAAAAAAACCAGAAAAACAGAAGGAATTAAAACTTTGAATGTTTTTCAATCATGGCAAAGTCAAGGAATGATGATGTATTTCAAAGAGTGAAAATAAAACATAATGCCAGTGCTTAGCAAACCCTGATGTGAAAGAGGTTATACTGCATCAGAGTACTTTCTGTTGAAAATGAGAAGTGTCGCCTCACACCTGAGGTGTGAGACATCTCACCATGGCAGGAGATGACCCGAGGGCTTTGAATTCTTATTGAAGCATTCAGGGTGAGGAGAGAGATGACAAACCATCACGTTTGGTCCACCTGTGTCAACCAAGGTGGTAGGTGTCATGCTTAAGAGCTTGGCTCATTAGGGTTGTGAGTTTGACCATGAAACTTTGGCAAAAGGCAGTGCTGAGCCAGGACTGTTGCTTCCTTTCATCCCCAGATGCGTGTGAAGCTCCCAGGGAATACAAGTAGGTTACGCTCTGGGAGAAGAGAGAACAGCAGCAGTCAGTTGTTTGCCTGCGTGTTTTGTAGCGGGTTCTTAACTGCGCATCCTCATTTCAGAGAGCTCATGAGGTGGGAGCGGGACTCAGAAGCAGAGGACCAACATCCTCTTGTATTAGGTGTAATACAAAATATTAGTGCTTCCTGAAAGCCTGCTGCTTTTCTATCTGTTGATTATGATGGCTAAAACACTAGCACCACAATTTGGAATGAAATAGTTAGAGGAAATGCCTGGCACCTCTTTGCTGTATCGTTTTTTTTTTCCCTTGGGGAGGAAAAACGTTGCAAATTTTTATCTGCGTGTATGAGGGGGCAGTAAGTAATCACGGGGCAGGCTGATCTCATAACTAAGAGCTGCAGAATTCAGCCTCAGGTTTGTGCTGCGGCAGGAGCTGTTGCGTCCCGAGGCACCGCATCGCGTGGAAAACCGCCTGAGAACTGACAGCCCCCTCTTTCTCTCTTGTTCCCCTCCCCAGGTCAAGCATCCTCCTTCACGCAGCAGCCCCAGGACCAGGTGGTGATCGCTGGGCAGCCCGTGACGCTGCTGTGCGCCATCCCCGAGTACAATGGCATCGTGCTGTGGATTAAAGACGGGCTCGCCCTTGGAGTCGGACGGGATCTCTCAAGTAAGTCATGATGCTACCTTACCTAAACAAGGAAAATGGGAGCTCTCCCTGCCCAACAGCGCGGGTGCGGTCACAATATTTATTGTGAGAATAACGAGCGTTTTCATTTCAACTACAAAACCTTCCAGCCAGCTCAAACATAAGCTTCCAAACTTGGAATAAACAAAAACTTTTTTCACTCTGCCTTGAAAGAAAACAGTTGGTTTCCCACAGGTGTGACCTGACCCTTTGGAAAGCCTTGCCTTGGTTTCAGTTGACTTTTGGAAACAAATGTCATGTTTTCAAAATGCAGGCTGAAATGTTTTGTAAATGTTGAAAGTGCCTGTTGTGACAGTCTCGAGAAAAAAGAAAAAAAAAAAAAAAAAGTCTCTGTTTGCTTTGGATAAATGTGTTTATTGCAATCCAGCGGAGCCCACAAGTACTTGTGGCTTCCTTAAGCTGTACTTTTGGCAAATTATAGTTTGGTAATAAAATTCCCAGACTTCTCGTTACTTAATCCCACGCATGCATTGTGATTGAGGGTTTATTGCAACTGGCGAAGACTCTGGAACAATAGTGGAGAAGTTATACAGTTTATTCTATATATTTTGCTGGAAAATACTAATTTTTTAGTGAAACGTTACACAGGACTAAGGGAGAGGGTTTGTTTGAAGGCCAGAAACCTGGGAGGGCACCGAGCCCTTCCAGGAGCTGAGCCTTGTCCCCCCGAGCGCAGCAGGGGCTGTACGCGTCTGACGCTGCCACTGCTCAACTTCTGCGGAGTACAGGAGACCTGAGAGGGTTTTTCTCCAAGTCAAGCAGCAGCAGCAGCAACATTCAGAAATCGGGGGAGGATTCGTGTTTCCTGGTATCCAGGAACCCCATTTTTCTCTAAAGCGCAATGCCTGCTTTTTCTTTTCCTCTATTTTTTAATACGTATAATTACTCATTTCTCAGACTTGCCTGAGTGAGCAGTCCCCTCTTCGACTGTTTTTCAAAGCTCTGTGGCGCAACTTTTACATATATTAGAGAGCTGAGCTTTCCGTACAAGACCTTGCAACACAAACGAGTAACAACAGCTCCACTGAAGTATGGAGCTTACGTGAATGAACTCCCACAATTAACGGAGCTGGGGCTGCTGTAAGCAAGAGGAGCTGCCAGCTCGCATGATACCAGCTCAGCCAGTCATCTAATTAGCTAAATACAAACAAACGCATCATTTGTATTTCTTGCGGTTCAAGAGAGCAAATCCTGCTGTTGATAGCTTGTGAAACAACAAAAACACAAGAGTGTGCCAGGCTGCCTGCGTTACACAGCGCATTAATCACCAGCGCAGGGAAGGATGGGGTGATGGCAGCCTTCCTTCTGTGGTGCTTCAGATGTCTCAAAACGCAGGACAGGCTGATCGTGGCTGTCGGTACCCCGCAGACCCCTGCCCAACCTTTACACAGATCCAGTAGTGGAAGTATTGCAGAGTTTCACCACAAGCACGTGCACAGCTGACTTAAGGAGTTAAGGAAATCCCGTGACAGGTCTCGGAGGTGGTGGGTTTCCTGGTGGAAGGGCTCATCCCTTTTCCTAGGGATTTCAGTTAATGCTCCTTCATCAGCACTTCTTTTTTGAACTCTTAGGGCAAAACCTGCAGTCTCTTTCCCGAATTTGGAAGGCCTCTCTCTTTCTTTTTGGACTGGCTGCCAAGGAGGGGAAGAAGCTACCTGGCTCCCGGGCATTTGCCGTGGGGCGGCTGGGGCTCTGGACCCATCCTGTATGCTCTTCATCCTTGGGCTCATCGGTCCAGCTCCTGACCCGTGCTTTGCATTCTGCAGGTTATCCACGCTATCTGGTCGTAGGAGACCATCTGTCCGGAGAGCATCACTTGAAAATCCTGAGAGCTGATCTCCAAGATGATGCCATCTACGAATGTCAGGCCATTCAAGCGGCCATCCGATCCAGACCTGCCCGGCTGACTGTTCTCGGTAAGTCCTGTCTCCTCATCATGCTGGAGGTTATTTGTTGGGGTTTTTTTCATCCTCATGGTTGCACTGAGTGGCTTTTTGACAGAATGTTTTGTTGCTAAATCAAGAGGACTGGAAAGTAATCCATTGCGAGAGCGATGGGGGTGCATCTTGATCCTGAGAATGGTAGCAAAGGAAGCTGTTTAGGGAGTACAGCAATTCTGGGATGAGTAACACAGGCACAAAATGTTTGGTAGAGCTGAAGCTCTACAAAAGCACATGCTAGTTCAAGAGTGTGTGTGCATAAATTTAAGGATATGAAGAATGTCGGTGCCGTCAGTGCGATATGCGTTAGCCTTGCTGCAATGCTGTTCTGCGGCAGGACCAGGAGGACTCTACCGCTTGAGAAAAGGCTGGTTTTTATACTATCTTCATACTATCTATTTTCATACATATGTTTCATCATCGTGCGTTTTTCAGTAATTAATCTTTCCCATGAGCAACACAGGAGGATGTTGCGTGGGATTGCAAACGGGAGACGGCTCCCAACACCCTGTAAAGACCATTTTTGGGTGGGAGATGGGAGAGTAGCCCTGGCAAAGGTGAAGGGCTTTGTTGGCAGGCTGGCAAAGTGGTTGTGAGTGTTTATCAGGAGTGCTGGGAAAAGGCAGGCTGCGTTAGTGAGACTTCCCAGAATGGATGTGACTTCAGAGAAGTTAATGAAAATGGTATTTTTCTTGAAAAGCTTGGACAAAAACCAGTCTGTATTGCTCCCAGGCACATCCTGATTATTCAACCCCCAAAGTGAAACTATTTACATATTTAAGTTTGTTTAAATTGAAGTTTGGATTTGGTTTTTTCCTTGTTGGTTTTTTTCCTGGTTAATTTTTAGGGAAAAAAATTCTTAAAAAAAGATCCAAACCGAGAGTTTTAGTGCTTTTGGTCAGATCGAAGCTAATTAGTCTTAAGCAGACAAAAAAAGTGAATTAAGGTATTAGTTCTGGTTGAAGGTGCGCCTTATTGGAGTCTGCGCACCACCGCAAAAATGAGTTTTAATTTCAGGGTTGTAATTTCCCCTGCTTTTGTTTTTCTCTCTCCGCAACCCTACACAGTACCCTACCCCCAAACTTACACGACTGCCGTATCTTCCTTCCCTGACCCCAAAGATAATGATGATTTTCTTTTGATCCATCTCCTCCTGCTCAATCAACCCTTTGCAGCAGCTCAGAGCTCTGACATGTGCCCATACATGAAAGAAGCCTGCAAATGAATCGGAAAGCAGAAGGCGGCTGTCAGGGGGGCTTTCTCGCTTACCGACAACCTCTGCAAGCTGTGTCGCCTTCCCCTCCCGTCGCCTGGGCTCCCCCCTTCTGTTGTGAAGGCAGAATACGTTGCTGGAGCCAGACAAAAGAAATAATGTTATCTAATTAGAGCTAAAGATTTCAAAACTAATTTAGTCCCAGGGCGCACGGGCGTACGTCAGAGCTCAGAGCTGCTGCGAAGCGTTGATTGAGCAGAGAGATGTTTTCATGGATCAAAAGGAAATCGTTATTATCTTTGGGGTTGTGGAATGTGTTGAATAGATGGTAGCTAATGTTTATGTGAATATACATGGTAGTTGCTAATTGGTACATTTACCTAAGATGTTCAGCAACTTATATTCGCAGCATGTTTTCCTTTCAAGAAAATTAAAGTTACGGCACATTCAACTTAAGCCCGATCAATAAGAAAATGGGGCTTTACAACCTGTCAGTCGCACATCTTTCACTTTAGATGTATTTATGCAGATGTTCTGGGGAAATTTAAGGCTGGTTGGGGAGATAGGAGTGATAATCCACACCCTCGGAAAGGGACTGGAAGGTTGTTAGGGCTCAGCAGATCGCATTTTGACACCTTTGCGGAAGGATGGGGTGTCCTGCCACACCGGCAGCGAAGGCGGATGTTGCCACGGCTGGTCCGCGGTCTGCGTTTTAGCCAGCCCAATGGAGGGGTATAGAAACGGCACATTAAGAGAAGATGCTTCCAGCACCCCGTGTGTTAAGAGGTAGCGCTGGCTCCTGACAGCCGGTTACAGCGTGTAGTGCGTCAAGCTAAACTTACTGTACCTTAGGGAGGCAAAGCGCGTGTTTGTACAGAAAAATGGAGAGACGTTTTTGGTGGTTACAGATGTGTAATGCCACCAGCTGCGCAGACGTTTCTCCTCTTCGGATCAGGTGCGTGCCGACTCGGCGAGCCTGCTTAAGCGACCATCGCTGGAGGGATGTGGATCTCCCAGATTTCATCTCGCTGGGTTAGGAAGGGATGTGACAGGCTACCTGAGCCGCCTCATTTGGAGAAGTCGCTTGTGGGGCATTCCTTTTAGCTTTTTATTGCCGTCAGAGCTGATTTGTAAATCCAGGAGGGATTACTTGTAAATTAATTGTAAAAATCCGCTGCTTGAACCCCAGCCTGACTCAGGCATCCCGCTGCCCGAGCTCCCGGGAAGCCGGTGCCTCCGGAGAGGGAAGCTGGGCTCCCTCGGTCGTGGCCAGGAGGGAGGCTTCAAACAGGAGGATGTTGCTCACACCTCCAGCACCCTGGCAGGTAGGAGGGGATGGAGACCTCCCATCCTGGAGGCTTTCTGATTCCTCTTTGACATTCAACCAAAGCCTAAATCATCCCTGTCTGTCCAGCTTCACCTGAGGCTGCAGGCATCGCCTAGGCAGGAGAGGATCCCTAAGCCATCCCCAAATCTGCGTGCAAACCATGCAGCTCTCGAGGAAACGATTTGTTACAGCCGGAGCAGAGCTGGGAAGCTCTCGTGGCTGGGGGCCCGAAGTGTGCTGCTGGGTTTGCCAAGGACCTGGGAGGCTCAACAGCCGGCCGGGGATGTTGGAGGCAGTTCTGGGGAACCCCATCCCACTCTATCACACCCCAGCCTTGCCTCTGGAAAATACCTTGCCTGTTTTTTTTGCGTGGGTCAGTGCTGCCTTGTCCGTTCTTGCCAGCTTTTCCACATTCTTGGTATCATAAAATCCCCTCATGCCTCCCAATTTGGTTTCCAACTGCTTGTCATTCATGTCTGACAACAGTTTTATGCGGCTGATGCCTCCTACTTCCCTGCTCAGATGCATCTGCATTAATATTTTAATTAAATATTTAAGCTTTTGTCACGTTGTTTCCAAATCTACATGGTTAAACGTAGTGGAACAGATCATTCCATAGCCTTGGAAGTCCAAACACTCAAACAGATGAGCCTGTTAGTGTCATCAGCATCGGGAGAATTCTTTTATTTGTAGTCTCAGGGACAAATATTGCTCAAGAACCCGGCTAACCCATCCCAAAGCTGAAGAATCCCCCTTCTCCAGGTCTCCCTCACCTTCCCTCCTACCATTGCCCAAATTGTCCAGGGAAGCAGCCTCTGCTCTCTCTCCTAGGGACGTCTGCCCGGCAGGGAAGGCAACGGCTGATAAAAGCTGATGTGATGGGATTTGGGAGATGCGGAGGCATCCACGTTTTCTGCAAGCAAAGGATGTCAGGGCAGCAGTTTGGCAGGGGAACCCAAGCCAGGCAGGCTCTGGGAAGCCACTGGAGGGCTATTTGCTACCTGGTACATCTTTAATGGCAGGGCTTCTTAATTTATGATCTATTTAACTATGCTGGGGTATTAATTAAATGAAGTAAGAGCCTGATTAGGACCAGAAGAAATTTAAAAATAAAATCAGAGTGAAATTGCAAAGCAAACACTTTGGCTGTAACCACTGGAGAGTTCCCTCTGGTCTTCCATCAAAGCTCGGAGCAGGGAGGGCAAATACAAGAGATTATATAGCCAACAGATGTGTGTTGTTAAAATATGCATCTGCCAGCCGTGTAGTTTAAGGAGCCAGAGGGCTAGCTTGTGGATCCTTCTGCACTCGGGGGACCGTGAATGAATTTGAGGCCCCGCCAGCCGAGCTGGGATTTGCAGACACGTTAATTAGTGTTGAGTTCCCAGATCTCGAAGGCAGCCAAGCGAAGAGAAACTTTGAAGAGAGCATCGGCTTCCCCGGGAGGAAGGAGAGGGGAGGAGAAGAGGTGAGCCCCGGCTCGCCGTGCCGATCTGGCAGTGGCGTTGCGAAGCTTCAGCCCATGATGGCCAGGGGCAGGCAGGACGCGCGGCGCCGGGAGGGTGGTCAAGCAAAGCAGGTGGACGGCGAGGCGTTGGGGAAGCTGGATGGTAGCGTGGTTGGTCTTCTTCACTGGCGTCTTGGCAGGAGCATCCCAAGCCTGTCCTGGTCTGTGGTCCTCAAAAGGCAGGGAAAGGGTTGTGGAATCATGAAAACTGATGAAGAGCCGTTCATGGTGGGACAAACCATCCTTCGCTACACACCGCAGGCTCTGTCTTCTGTGGTTTTAAAGAGTTTCTCATGAGCATCATGCAGGTGCCAGGGGAGGGCTGGAAGGGACCCCAGCATGAGATGTGATGCCTCCAGCCCTGCCTTGTGCCACGGGCTGTCCTGGCAAGTTTCTGTACACCACTAGCTCTGCAGCTCGGCGCAGGGAAAGGGTTGGTCCCAGAGAGATGCTGGTGGGAACTTGGTGACAACCAGGACAAGGGGACCGTGGGGGTGTGAGGAAGGGAGGCGGAGGAGCTACTTCCAGAGGCTTAAGGTGAATAATTGATAGGCAATCAACTTGTACATTCACCTTTTATAGTCTAATTCCCTGTCTCCTCCCCCTCCGCGGCCTCTTCTAATATTAACTCTGCCTTCATGTGTGTCCCATTAGAAAGAAAGCTTTCTTAAATCAACGTGAATTATTTAACGCTACAGATTAAGTTAATTTGAAGTGAGAGCTCCTGTCTTTTAAGATGGCACAAGCCAGGGACAGGAGAAGAGGAGGGTCACGTTGGTGTCAAGTACATTCACATTCAATCACGACCCTTTTCCTCTTTTTATTTTATTTTTTTATTTTATTCTTTATTTTATTCCAATCATCTTTCTAGCTGAGCCTTTCCAGTCCTCCCCTGCAGAGCGGAGTAAGCTATTTCCATTACCAAAATG